CCTCTCTTAGCACAAGAACCACTAGACCATCTCTGAGAGATAATCAACCAGCCTCTGCTTGAAGACGCCTAATGAAAGAGAAGCTACCACTTCATGTGGCAGCTTGAACTAATGTGGACTGAATTTAAGTGAGTGACAAGTATGAAAGAATTACACTGACGGAGAAAATGAATGAGAATTGAATCACAAAACAACTACATAAAGGAAGAATAAATGCATCAAGAAGACCAAGACCAAGGAAGTCACGGTTGCGGTTGGTGATCCTGAAAATAGAATAGAATAGAATAGAATAGAATAGAAATGTTTAAAAGAAAAAAGGCAATATATGACACTGTGTCTAGATATCATTGAAGCAAAAAATGTTTGCAAGGATAAATAATATTGTACGGAGAAATACAAAAAAGATAGAAACCATTCTAGCTATGTTACTTCTTCTTTCGTTCGCATGGCATACTATTTCTCATTCTTTTTCTTCTTTTACATCAAAAAATATAACTTTATGGGTAAGTATGTACATAAGCAAATTTATATAAAGTTTTGGTAGCACATTGGCTGACTGAAATGCCATTATATAGATATTTTTCATTAGACTAAAAACATGCAAACAAACGTATATGTGTGCATGTGCAGGGCAAAATGAAGTATCTGGAATCAATTCTATAGCCACAGGCAAGAGGCCTACCAGCAAGAATTTCAAGAGACATGTATGAACAATAATAAAGGAATGGAATGTGTGAATGACCTTGGGGGACAAGATATTGCCTAGGAAATATTCAGACAAGACAGGCAGGAGTACCAATGGGATTAACTGAGGAAAAAAATTCGGAAAGATGCCCTCAATTGTTCAGGCAGTTAAAGTAGGTGGTAGCAAGTCAGACTTGCAAGATTCTGTTAATGTAGCCTTACAATAAAGCAGAATTAGCTCCTCATGTTGTGTTTCCTATCTGGTTTATCTGAGATATAATATTATAGTGCTTTCAAAGTGGTCTTTGTAATTGGAGGATCTGCCAAGAAAATACGATTTGCTTGCAAGCAAAAAACTAGTAGGACCACAAAATAGAAAAAGTAATAGAAAATGAAGAAGCTAAAGTGCTCTGAGATTTTAGAATTCAAGTAGACAGGCACCTACCACATAACACCCCAGACTTAACAACTATAGGCAAGAAAGTCAAAACAAGCTTGGATAGAGGAGATGACAATACCTGAAGACAGTAGAATAGAAGAGCAAGAACTAGGGAAGACAACAAAATACAGATCTGCAAATAGAAATACAATGGCAAAAGAAAACAAAGGAAGTACCAATAGTAATAAGTGCTTCGGATACAACCTGAGAACAACTGGAGGACCACTTGAACACCCACTGACAATGACAAAATCATCATCAGTCAACTGCAAAAGGCAACTTTACTTGCAACAGCTTACAACCTAAGATGATACCTTTAACATCATCAAACATCAACTTTTACCTATCTCAGAACCTTGGGAAGATAGATGGATAAAAATGCCAAATCCAGTCTAAACATCTGGCTTCCAATGTATAAATGTATAAGACCAGACTAACTACACAAAGCTACCATTAGAAAAGAAGTGCTTTTGAATCAAGATAATTGCTGCAAGTAGTAATACATAGATAAATCTATGTACCTTCTGAGCATAATAGGACTCTCCCTTTCAATGACCCTGTAATCACCTAATTCAGAATAGAGTTAGGGCTACTGGGTGCCTTCTGAGTATATGGCTCTAAAATTCTCGAAGCACTGCATATCCACTAGCACCTTTTTCTGTTTTATTCTTTTATTATTAAACTGTCCCAAGTTTGCTTTATGTAACAATTAGTCTTAATACTACTGAATATTAATTCAACTAGCACTGCCATAGAAAAAAAAAAATCTCTATGGAAAAATGCATTTTTTCTGCTTGTTGCTCTTAACATTTTCTATTATTTCAGATTTCAAGCTATTAAGTGAATCTGTAAGGAAATTAGTCATGGTGTGAAAGGTTTTTTACAAGCTCACAGCACTTTTGATGAAACAGAATTTTTTAAATAAATTAAACTGTGTAACTAGACAATTTCCATCTGCACTTTTGAGCATAACTTAATATTTTGAGGGGAAGAGGGAATCTAGTTTTCCTGAAAAAAGGATCAAATGCATCAATGTAAGTAAGGCTTTTAAGAAAATTAAGAGATGTATCTATCAAGAAGAGATCCTGTTCTGAAAGACTCTTACTATGATATACGAATCAAAACTGCCCCAGAACTTAAACAATTAACTAAGAGAAAGAAGCAAAGAATGTCTGGTTTTTGAGCTCATATGTTAAATATATTACATGAGAATCTAAAAATAAATACAAACAACACATTTAGAAAAATGTTTAGTAACATAAGTACTAGCAAAATGCACTAATATGGGAGCCAGGAATAACTGTGACTACCTGCTACACGTACAAATAAACAAGCAATCAAGCACATAAACAAATAAATAAAAAGTGCAAAGAAAAATAGAAAATGTCAGCAATACACAAGCACTCCACACTGACTGGAAGCAGCAGAAAATATTTTACCTTCATTCCACCCAAACACTAAGATAATTCTGTATCATTCCTCTAGTCTAACATGTATCAATAAGCAAGTTCTGCAAGGGCAAACCTCAACAATAATTATCAAACCAAAAAAACCCATTCTCTGACAAAAAGAAGAAAGAAAAATAAAATCCAAATACACCACTGTTCATGAGGGAGAAAGGAGAAATTTGATTTTTGGAACAAGCTACAATAGATGCACAGGTAGTCCTCGACTTATGACCACAATTGAGCCCAAAATTTCTATTACTAATTGAGACATTTGTTAAGTGAGTTTTGCCCCATTTTAAGTCCTTTCTTGCCACAGTTGTTAAGTGAATCAATGGAGTTAAGTTATTAAGAAGGTTGTTAAGTGAAATTAGTTTTCACATTGACTTTGTCAAAAGGTCATGCAAGGTGATCACATGACCTTGGGGGCACTACAACCATCATAAATATGAGTCAATTGCCAAGCATCTGAAATTTGAACATGTGACCATGGGGATTCTACAACAGTTATAAGTGTGAAAAATGGTCATAAGTCACTTTTTCCAGTGCCATTAGAACTTTGAATGGTCTCTAAACTGTTGTAAGTTAAAGATTACCTGTAATCAGTAAATATATTTTACAAGTTCACCCAGAGTAAATTTGAAAGACAGTATTCTTATCACCATTGCAAGCCTAATCACACCATCTCTGTTAGGTAACATATTTAATTTGGGAGGTAGGGGATTATTGGATTAAATTTACTTGAAATCCTATATCAATTTTACTTTTTCAGCAAGATTTTAAGAGTTGGTGCTAGTGACTTTATTTTTCAGTTAAATAGTCTAGCAGGACATTGTGCTGTGTTTACATTCAACCTCAATCTACTTAAACTTTCTCCAACATAGATAGGCCTCAGATTGTTCCCAGAATTCTCCACCAGCATGGCTATTGCTCATCTGCATCATGCTAAACTAAATATTTCAGATATCATAAATACTGTGTTCGATCTTCATTTTTATATTCACGATCTGGCCTTGATCTCATATACAGTGGTAGGATTCAAAAATTTTTTACTACCGATTCTGTGGGTGTGGCTTGGTGGGTGTGGCTTTGAGGATGACCTCAGGGAAGCATTGGAGACATGGGCCTCCTCGTAGTCTGGTAGGATAGACTGGGCCTGTGCGTCCTCCATTTTATTCCAGGACTGACACTGAAGGCAGCCTTTCTGTAGTGCCTCTCTAACTTCTAGGCCAGGCAAGCAGGAACGCTGTGAGGCCTGAATTCTGCTTGTAAGGCCCGAATTACTAATTGCCAGTTTTTTTCTTTCCAAATATATTTTGAGCGCAGTTGGAAGAGACCTTAAAATAGCTGCACGATGGCTCCGGAGTGGCATATGAACCTCGGCACGAGCCGAGGCTCTTACGCCAGTACTCATAGTTGTCAGGAGCCATAAGCAGCGGCGCTGGAGCCCCAGCGCAAAAGGAGAACAGCTCCCTGCTCTCCGCAATGTTCCAGGCTCTACCAGATCCCTAAGGGCCTCTACGATGACTCTTGAGGTCTTCTTTTGCCTTTCGCTGCTGATCGCTAGCTAGAGCTTCCAGAGACACGCCTGCTCTTCAACAAGGAGCTGAGTTGAAAGCTGGGTGCCTAACAACAAGGGCTGGCTTTATCAGCTTGGCAGACTCAGCTCGATGACTTACGAGGAGTCATCTAACCCTGACCTGGACTCTCGCAGCAGCATGGAGGAGAAAGACTAATTCTATTTAACAATGTTTTCCAATTCAAAATCTTGAAGAGGTGATACTAGAAGTTTTCATAAAGATTATAAATAATACTGAAATTAAGCAGGTCCAATGCATAAATACCAAAATGCTCTCTTTGATTTTTTTAAAAATAATATTCATTTGCTTTTCTGTGGAAAAACTGGAAGATGTATGTGCATTATTCACTTTTATTTTTTAGTTATTTTATATATTAAATTTATATGGCCCATTTCACTGTTCTGACTGATTCTGGATGGCTTAGAATAGTATAAAAACATAAATATAAAAACATTAAAAGTACTAAAATTTAGATTATCAACAATTACAGATTAAAAACAAGAACATGGATGGTACGAAGTTGGACTTTTGTCTCTCACTTTTATAGTAATCAATAGGAAAAGTTATATTTCTTTAGGTCCTTATTTTACCTCCACATACAATAAGAAATATTCCTTCCCATCCCACCCCCCTATACACTTGCCAATCTTAGTTTATCCTGCAAGTGTAAACATCTGGAACTTATTTTTAAAGCAATACAAAAATTTTAGGCTTGTAATTTAACCTCTAAGTGCAACTAATGAAAACAAGGGAATATTTAGGGATGTTATTATTCTAGCTGTTCTGCAGAATCCAGAAAATAAGGATGCATGGTCATACGAAAAAATAAACAAGTTGAAGCCAAATAATTACCTGAGGGTGGATCTGGGGCTTGTCACACGTGGCCTCAAAATCCAACACTAGGAAGTAATGATACCTCTGTGGGGGAAAGGATGACATTGCTGCCATGGAAGCAAAGCCGTGAGAAGCCAGTTTCCCGGTTTTAGTGGAGCTGTACCTCTGGAAAACACTAAATAGCAGAAAGGAGAGCAGAGGAGTCCTCAATCTTGGGAACAATCTGAGGTGAAGCCTTGCTGCTGTTGAACCGAGAAGTGTGATCATTGAACACCTAGCAGCATCTGGACCTTCAAAAGAAAAAGAAACTGGAATCACTCTACACATACAGACTTCTTCATTTTAATGCCATTGAAGAAATACAACTTCCATTTATTTATTTGAACAGAAGCTGGAAATCAGTTTCTATTAATCACATCCCTTATTTAAAGCACTTCTACCGTATTTTGCATCAATAGGAATCAAGACAGCCAATAAAGTAACAAAAATACAGCTACATGTAGTTCTCCTTTAACAGTTTATCTAACAACTTAGCAGTTCTTCAAAGTTATAGCAGACTCCCTAAAATCTACTTTTGAGTTGGTCCCAAAATTACAGCTGCTATAATGGCCCTCACATGTACAACCAATCACAGAGATACTGCCAACCCCCACTGCATATCTCTCCCCACCATCCTTCCCCACCAGATCCCTGAAGGCCTTGAGCGTGCTTCCCAGCCCACGAGACTCCATACCCTCCTCCTCACATATCTTTTGAAGATCTCCAGAGCTTGGATTAGGGAAGCACAATGGATTATTTCATCATGTGACATGACTCAGGAAGTGATCACTATTTTCCAAACAGTACTTTGTGGAGATTGGCAGCTATTTTCAGAATTGCACCACACAACCATGTGACATCCATTCTACTTAATTAATGTACTCAGTTCAGCAGTGTAGAGGTCTGGAGATCTTCAAAAGGTAAGTAAGTGATATGTGTTCCGTGGGGAGGAGGTCTAAGCCTTGTGGAGACGATGGGGGGCGGGAGTCTGCAGGGACAGGGGGGAGTAGACTCAAGGGCTATGGGAACAGTGGGAAACAGAGTATGAGGTGTCTCAGGGTCCAAGTCTGTGCTGAGCCTCCCAGGGCCTCCCTCAACCTGAGGCACCACATGATCTGCTTAATCACCTGCACAGTTGTTTTAACAACACAGTTGTTTTAACATCAGGGAGATCAGGGGGTAGGAGTCATTAAGGGAGGCCATATTGCTTAATGACTATCATCATTTGCAAGCATAACAGGGATGCTCCAATATACTCAAACATTGATGATTATCTGTGCAATAATCAAATTACTAAAAGAGACACGTTAGCCAGTTTAGTGTGCTGGTTAAGATACCTGGCTAGAAGCTAGAAAAGTTCTAGTCCTTCCTTAGGCATGAGGCCAGTTGGGTAACCTTGCATCACTCCCTCAACCTAGGAAGGAGACAATAGTGAACCACTTTCAAAATTTTGCCAACAGTTAATCAGCACTAACTGAAGGGCACTCAGCAGAGGGAGGGGGAGAGACAATGGAAACAAAATGATGGCAGATTGTATATTATACATGTCCCTCCCAACTGCATACTGAAAAGAATCTCCTTTAAAGCCAGTGTTAACCTCCACCCCAACAAGAATATAGTGGGTATCAGGAGGACAGCCACTGAGATTGGTAACTATCAGTAAACTATACTAGATACTATGTTAATACGATAGTTGATAAAGTTCAGAATTATTAGGACCAATATGTTATAATGTAGGGAGCACTGTAAGTAAACCACGGAAATGCAGATTTAAAACCCAATTCTGATATGAAATCATTTTCTCCCAGTCTAAACTTCCCAGGAGGATACAACATAGAATGGATCAAGAATGCTACAGTGAAATCTTTAGAGACAGCGTGATTGAAAATAAAAAAAAAACATGATCACTGCTCATGTCATTTTGAACCACATTTCAAAGTAGTAGTTCCAATATAAATGTGATTAATACAATCCTTATATCATACAAATCAGTCTAGTAAATAGTAGCACACGTGTACTGCCTCCACAGCAATGATTTATAAAATAGGAACTCAGAACCAGAACATTTACTTTATGGCTTTATGTGCCTAGCACTGCTCATCCATATCAAATTGCACAAGCGAGCTTAAGACAATGATTTTTCAGTTTTAGATATTACTGGAGCCCCCCACGCCCCCAAGTTTGGGGACAAATCATATCCTCTTCAACTGGCTAGATTATGGAAATTATAATACAAAACTTGAATAAGGATTTGAAAAAGTTGCATTAATGACAGTATGACTGAACTGGTAGTGATTGTAAAAGATATGTTTAAATCAAGCGTACATCAAGGGTGGTTCTGTCCACCTCTGTAGAACTGGTAGCTCTGAAGAGCAGCAGACAGACAGCATACATAGAATTGGTTCTATGTCTGCTGCTGTTTTGGCCCACTTGACTGCCCGGATCTTATCTGACTTTTATTTCCTGCTTTTTCAATTGCAGCTACTTTGCGCGACACAGCTGCAGTTGAAAGAGGAAAAAAAGGCTTTTTCAATTGCTGCGCACCTGCGTGCAGCACTGCTCAGCTGTCCAGGCAGCTGACGACAATATACATGCGCGCGCAGCAAAACGTAAAATCACCGAACCGGTAGTTACACAGGTCAGATCCCACCCCTGGTGTACATATTAAATACATGCTTTCAGGTGCCAGGTATATAATGCTCTGCATATAATGATACTCGCAGAGAGTCATTCAGTTCAAATCTTTCAGACCATCAAGTCCAACCCCTTGTCCTTTGCGAGAAACCAAATTAAAGGTTCTATGATATATGATGTCCAGCTTCTACTTGAATACATCCAGTAAAGATGTATACCTTTTGCATAATTGGTTCTGCTGTAAAATTGCTCTCATTGAAATCATCACTAGAATTTAACTAGCCTTTCTATAATTTAAATCCATTACATCATGTATTCTGAGGTAATAGAGAACAAGGCCTGACCTTCTCCTACGTGATACCCTTTAAGCTATTTGAGGAGTGCTTATTATAATCATCCTCAATTTTCCTCTCCCAAGGCTAAGTACATCCAATTCTTTCATGGAATTTAGTTTCTATTCCCTTGATCATCCTTGTTGCTTTTCTCTGAAGTTGTTCTAGTTTGTCTGAATCATCTTCAACTATGGGGTCCAAAACTGAATTAGGGTCTGATCATTGCAGAATAAAATATAGTTCAGTTGATGCAACCCAAAATTGCATCTATCTTTTATTTAGCCACCTTAGATAGAAAATACTATTATCAAGCCATCTATCTAATTAGAATCAAAGTTTGCAACTCTTTACTTCATTGTATTTTGCTAAATTATAAATTTGGATTTAAGTCATACTGATGTGTTTACACCCAAATGATCCACCATTTAATAGAGATCTTGTGCCATCCAATCCACCACTATTCTTGATATTTCTAAGACTAGAAAGGGCTACAAAATAATCTCTGAAGACTTTGGAAGTCTAGCCAAACCATAATCAGACAGATAGGATATAAATGGTGAAAATACCACGCCACTATTACTTTTTCTAAGAGTGGATTGTAAATGTCTTATGATGATTCTCAATCATTTAGGTCATGTGTCCCAAAGGTGCTTTTCAAAAATGTAATTGGATTTTGTTTTTGTTTTTCCTTGAAAATGTTTCACCTCATCTAAGAAGCTTCAGTTCTGACTATATATTAGGTATTGTTCATTTAACCAGAATCTCTTCATCTCTTCATATAATTATGAAAAATCTTAGATTTATTGTAGGTCATAATACTGCATGACTATAGTTCTAAAAGGTTCACAAATTTTCTCCTAGTATTAGAGGGAGCTTTGACCAAAAGACACAGGCCCCTTTCTCCCAAGTACTTTCTACAAAAAAAAGTGAAGTAGCGAGCATTGTATTTATTTTAATAGCTTAGAAAATGGTAAGAGAAATAACTTTTATATTTGATTGTGTTCTCATCTGAGTCATACCTGAATTTGTTAAAAGTTCTAATTATCAAGCCCAGCTCAAGAATGAAATAGAACAATCTAGCCAAAGTTCAGTTCTTTATTTACTTATACCATATAGACAGAATCTTGCCAGACTAAAGCTATACTACTCTCACCCTAAGGGATATACCAAGAGATTTTAGGAAATGGCTATCCTAAATCTCTTCCTCTATCTCCAATCCAGCTCCAGGCTGTGTTGTCTCATTTCACCCTCCTCCTTGGAATATGCTTCCTCCTTCCTGGGATACTGCCACTTCATTGTAGGCCATCACACCATCTCCCACTTTTGTATACAGATTTCATCATACTGATACAGCCCTGAAGAATAACAGTAGATTTTTCCACCTCACCTCCTGGCCCCGAGAATGAAGAGCTCTGAACAAATTTGAAATTGTAGCCTTTTATTTAAAAATTTGTGGAAATACACTTCTTCTGAAGTAATACTATATAAGAACCTTATTCCTTTCTCCTATACTCTCAAAATCAGATTAATTTTAAGAATGAAAGGAACATCCATATATGATAGAAAGTTCTAGTTTGCTTTGATCACTGTATATATACTTATAATACTTATTCTGGTTTGGACCCTGGATTTATACATGCCCAGCTAAATCTAAAACCACATTACAGTACAGCTGAGACCAGTGTTTCCCAACAGCCATGATCTACAGGGGGGCAATTTGATTTTTAATGGGGGCAATTCGAAAATGAGCTATTAACTGAATTTTTGAAAGCCCACTAATTGGTCTTATATACTTGTGATGAAACAGCTGTGTTTCATTTACCTATTTTGTCTTTGTTAAAGTTCATTTTCTAGGGTCTGTCTGAAAAGGATATCCCAGCTGGGGGGAGGATAGAGCAACTACCAGCCAATCAGATGTGTTCCCATTAAGGATCATGGGACTGGCAGAGTCTCTTTCTCTCTCTTTCCTGTAAGCTTTGCTGCTGGGTGGTTGCTCTTTGCTGCTGGGTGGGGAGAGAGTGGATAGCTCCTGGGGGAAGCCCAGCAGTGAGGATACAGAATTAAGACCCAGGTTTAAGTAAGAAATTATTAAGACTTACAGTTATTTTTAGTCTGTGTGTTTCCAAGGCCGTGTTTTACAACTTTTCCTCACAGAGCAATCTGGGGTTGGGCCACGTATGGGTAGACCTTGCCGGGCGAGTAGGGGGACTCCTAGGTTACAACCCCCCTTTTGTTCATGACAATTACTATTCATAAACTAACCATAATCTATTATGGAATGGATT